CGGCGGTGCGGGCGGCGCGGCCCTCGCCTCCCCGGCGAGGGGAGGAGTCTGCTAAAGGCCTCGGGGCCGCCGGGAGAGGCGCGTTAAATCCCGGCAGCCCGAGTCGTTCAGGGCTGGCTTTAGCGCGTGTCGCCTTCTGGGGAACTCCTGAGTGGACGGGGCCTGTTGGCACGGATAGGCATCCCGCTAGTTACAGTACGCTGTCTCATTAGATTATTTTCAGTTCTTAGGCAGCAAGCATTGATGAGACGCTTTGGCAGTGTTGAGCCCTTCCTGTTAGTCTTTGCTGAACTAGACTCTAGTTCTATAAGCACACAAAACGGGCTTAATGCAAATTTGGGCGTTTTTATGTCACGCTGTGAGCATCATGCAGAAGCCTGGGGTGGTTCCGGGGCCGGAGGCAGTCCAGCTGTGTTGAGTGAGCAGCAGGACTGCCCAGTCTCAGTGCAACCTCAAACTCAGGCTAGCATTCAGTAGCCCAGTGAGCTCTGTCTTCCCAATCAACAAGCTTTATCAGAAGTAGCTCAGATACTTTATACCATGGGTAGCAGCTTGTGTTACAGACTGTAAGCAAATTGTGCAATGACCAGGCCATTTGATGTTCCACCTTATTAATATCAAGTGTAGCAATCCATTACCCTGTGTTTTAAACTTCCTGGCATTCATACTGTACTCTGTGCTTTTCCAAGTTTGGGTTCTAATCCTTGTATTTCTTCTGTCTCCCACTCCTTCGGCACCGTTGTATTCACGGTACTTTTCAGAAACTGCGCTGCCTATCTCTCAGGTTGTCTGCCGTGGTGAAAAATAAGGTAGCGTAAGCAAAAAGAAAAGTAGTGTAATCTAAGTACTGTGGAGTTGCACAGCATATGCCAGTGATTAGTTGGTGAGTGTTAATGGCTGTTTGCAATTCCTGATCAGAGGTGACAGCTTTTTCTGAAATGCAGTTGTCTACTAGTCCTGATCTAAAAATGAGCTGTTCTGGAGTGTCTCTGTAGGTTGCTCAGCCCAGGCAAGCTGCTGAAGTAGCATGATGGCTTGCTGGTGCATTTGAAGGTAGCAGCACTGCTATTCTGCATGTTGTATTACTTGCCACTTTTGCAGGGAGTTGAAAGCTGTGAAGTTGTTCAGAGTTTATTCTTACCAGTACAGTGCCAGAAATGGTATGTGCGTGCCAGAAAAGCATTAAGTCCCAATCAAGCTATGCTGTGAAAAGCTAAGCAGCTTTAATGAGAATAAATAGTTTTGTGAATGAGTATTTTTCCACTCACAACTACTCAATTAAAGTATTTAAGAATGATCACAACAGAAGAGACCAAGCATCTGTATAACACAGTATACCCTCCTTGACAGGCCCCAAAAGAAGATATGTAGGTGAGAATAGGTCAGATACGTAGTGATACTTCCATAGTATCCTCTTGCAGCCTCCACCAGTTGGTGGCATAGGGACTTCCTTAGCCAGAGTAGGCAGCCTCTTGTTTTTCAGTAACCTCCCAAACTGATGGATATCTTTTCTACCAGACTATCCTGTTTACCCTTGTACCTGTGTAAGCTCCTGATGGCCACAACTTCTGTGGCAAAGAGTTCTGCTAAAAAAACTACGCAGTTTCTCATTTAAAAAAAAAAAAAAACAGTTACTCTTAGTTGTTTTGAACCTGGCAGCTACTACCTTTCCCATTTGGCACTGCTTGTTCCTGTATTGAAAGAGCTAGTGAGCAGTTAGTCCCTGTTTCCTCGTGTTGTGTCACTCGTGATTTCATATTTTATCTGCCAGGAGTTATACCCTTCTTTACTATTCCTTGTTTGAAGATGTTTCTGTACTGTTGATAATTCTTACTGTTGTTATGTATGTTCATTTGTTTCCTGGAAATTAGTATAATGTTTGTCTGCACTAAGCTGCGTTATGATGGGTCTGCATTAGATACTGTAAAGAACGTTCTCTGTGTTCTACTTGCATTATTGATGGTTATTTGGAATTTGCAGGTCCAAAAACTTATAGTTTTAGTTCAACAACAGATTCCAGTGCTGCTGCTGCAAATCTAGATAAATCTGTTCTTAAGGTGAGTATCCTTCTTAGCAAAAGCAGCTTTATTTTTCATAATACTTGCTTTTAGCTGAATAATTTTTTTTTTCAGTTATATGTATTATCGACATAAATTAATGTATTAGACACTGATTCTCCTGAGTTTGAGGTTTTTGGGGTTTTAAGTGGGGTTTAAATTTGGGGTTTTAACTTTAACAAATAATGTGAACGAATACTTGACATAGGAGAAAATCTACATTAATATTTTTTAAATAATAACTGATACATTACATGCAGGACTATGAAGACTTATGCTTTCACATCCACTACTTGCCACAAGAAATTGTTAAGTATGTATGTATGTATGTATGTATACATACACACACACACACACACATATGCTTTTTTTTATTACTTGCATACAGGGACTAATTTCTTTAGTTACACAACTTCAGAGCAACCAGAGTTCATAGCTTAGCAATGTTAAAAATAGTGAAACTATTAGGAATTTTTTGAAATTGTTTTTTAAGTCGAATAGGAAAGACTGTGTCGCAGGTTGTATCTTGAAGGTCAAATTATTTTATAGTAGTTCTTGTAAGCTGAGAAGAGAGGCCTTGTTGTTTCCAGTGGAAATTTTTCTTTTATTTTCTTTGGTGTACTGTATTTCCCTAAAGATGTACACAGGCCTTTTCTGTAATAGGGAACAAATTCTTCCATTTCAGGTAAAAGCATACAACTTAAAAAAACAAAACAAAAAAAACCCAAAAACCCCCCAAACCCTGCCTCTTTCATAAGAAAGGATTACTACACTCGTGGAAAACTGGAAGAGTGGAGGTTTGAATGGCAGAGAGGTTTCTGGAGTCTTGTTTCTTTAGGCAAAAGAATAGATGTGTCATAAAACTTGTAATATTTTACTTTATATTGACTAACTTCCTTTATGCAGGTAATGATTAATAGTAATTTGGAGAAAAGGATTATTGGTGTAATCAATGAGCATAAAAAACAAAATGATGACAAAGGAATGATTTCCAGAAGACTTACTGCTAAGAAACTACAGGTAGAATTTAAAATGTTTTCCTCTAACTGTTGTGTATTTAGAATAAATAACTTTTTTCTTGTCATTTGTATTTTGGCACATAGTACAAGCTGGTGTACCAAGCTTTCCAATAACAACATTAATGATTAGCTAGTGAAATAAATGAGCATGCTTATTAAGCAAGATGTCTCTTATGTGTTCAATAACCAAATCAGAGTCTTCAAACTGGGCAGAGGAATAGAACTTTACTTCTCAAAAACTGAATGTTTTATGAGTTGTGCTTCCTACATTTTTGTCTCTGTATTATAGCTGGAAGGTTCTAGTTTTATTGTTCTGACTAGAACATATGCATTCTGTTCAAAATCGGGAACATTTATATATTTATACATACATGTTTACAACCAAAATGATTATAATGTCTGTATGCAAAACAAGATATGTGGATTTATGATGTTTGCATCCATTTAGTACTATTTAGTCTGATATGTGGGAAATAAGAGTTTATGAACCTACATTGAATCATTAGGTTAAATACTTATTTTTTTCTAACTGGCATTTATTTGTAGGATGTATATATGGCTTTACAAAGATTCTCCTTTAAGACTGAGCACATTGAGGAAGCAATGAAAAACACAATTTTATACGGTGGTGATCTTCACTCTGCACTTGACTGGCTTTGTTTAAACCTTCCAGATGGTAAGTACAGTGACAGAGAAGTGACTGCAGCTTTTAATAGAAGAGCAATAGGAGCTACTCTGACGTGGAGGTGCTGCATAGTAATCATTACATGTATTTTTTCAGCAAGACCAGTATGGTGTTCTTTGTGTAGTTTTACTGCTGACTGTTTTTTGTGACTGTGTGTGGTCTTGTAGCCCCTTTTTTTCCTCCGCTTGGTGCTTTACAGAAGTCTAAGAATCAGATGCTGACTTACGTAAATATCAAAGCCGAATTTTATTTCAGCATGCTGTTTGTTTCATGGTTTCCTTAGTTTGTTCCCAGTGTGCTTAAAAACATTTTCAGTAACTGTTAGTGCCAAGTGCTATGACATGGGTTTTTATTTTGAAGATGCATTGCCTGAAGGTTTTAGCCAGCAGTTTGAAGAACAACAACAGAAACCTAGAGTAAAATTTTCTTCTCCTGTGCCGCAACGCCAACCTCCACCTTGCTTAGTAGATAACAAAAAGAAAGAAAATGGCCCTGAAACTAAGGTAATCTGAAGAATATTAAGTTGTATTTGGTGGGGGGTAGAAATTTCCAGAATACAGGACTTGCATTGACTTCAACGCATCATTTTTGGACTGTTTGGTAAGATTGTTGAAAATATGGTGAACTTAATTTCATTAACATGAGTTAATTTCATTTTATCTATCTATATATAAATCTATGTATAGATAGATATAAAATGTGTTATTTTAATTACAGTGGAATAGTCATTCAAAGGTATCACTTTTTATGTGAAGCTTAAAAGACTATTTCTACTTTGTTTTTTGTAGTGACTTTTGCCTAGTAAGAGAAAAACAAATCCTAACATAGCTTAACTTTCTCCTGGAATTAGTTCATTCTCTTTATTTACAGATGGCACTTTTTTTATTTATCAGTATGGGTGTAAGTTTGCCTCTGTGCTTTGGTGTTTTGATTCCTGAGGTTACTGAGTCTTACACAAGATATCTTGTAAGGCTTGTTTAGTTTTATTTCTTTATTTATTTTCTTACCTTTTCTCCTTGTTATAGCCCTTACGAGATGTTTTTCCTGCTGGGAGAAATTTGCTCTATTGATTTTTGTTGAGCTATCGTTTAATTTAGTTTTTATTATATATAATATATTGCTCAAGATATTATTGAAAAATATTGAAAAACCTACTGGTGCTTCTATATACTGTAGCCATTGCTTTTCATTTTGGTTGTTCTTCCTAGGAAAGAAATGTGGGGAAAGAGAAAGAAGTGAGTATGAAGGAATGGATTTTGCGATACGCTGAGCAACAGATTGATGAAGAGAAGAACGAGTCTGTGAAAGAGACAAATGAAGAAAAATTTGACCCAGTAAGATAGTATTTTTTAACAAGAAATCTTGCCAAAAATGCGTATCTGCAAGTTGTGCATCTGCTTGTTAAAAATTGGGAGTTGAATAGCTGGTCTACTGTCCTATGTTATCTTTAGATTTTACATCGTTGCAGGCTACTGGAGGGAAATGCGTTGGAACTGCTCCTTTCCTAAGTTATTCTTCTCTTATTTTGTACCGGGTTCAAACTATTTAATGTGTTATGCTAGAAAGAAAAGCATAGATTCTTGAAACAAGTCTCAGTGAAACTAGGAAGGTGGCTATCAAGATCCAGGAGGTTTTAACCATTACATTTTTAAAAAAATAATTGTTCCTGCCTTGTGTAAGTTTGGTGTAAAGGACAGAAAATACACTTCATTTTGAAGTTTGTTTAAAAACAGGTATACAATATTCAATTTGTAATAATTCTCTTTGGAACAGAATGAAAGGTATTTACATCTGGCTACAAAGCTTTCAGAAGCAAAAGAACAAGCAAGCCTCTCCAAGCAAGACAAAGACAAGCAAGGCCAGAAGGTAGCACAAGAGAAAATAAGAAGAATTCAGCAAGGTAGAGCCATGCAAATTACTTGTTTCTTTTGTGGCCTGCGTATTTGTTAGGCAAAGAAGACTCTGAATCAAATCGAATTGATTTAACGTCTTTTGCGCCACTCTGAGTTGCAGACTTTCCTGAATTTATGCATTTTTGTGGGGGCCAAATTCTGAAGTGACATATTGTTACTTCAGTTTTTGGGTGCTCACTATGAGTTAATAGAGCCGATCTTTTCTTTTTAAAGAGCAGATGGTCAGCAATTAGGGGGAATAAGTTATATTATCTCCGTTTGACAGAAATGGCAACACTTGAGGAACATCCTGTATTTAATCCGGCTATAAAGATCTCAAATCAACAACAAAATGAAAGGAAAAAAACTCCCTTACCTCAGGAAACCACTTTGAATCTGAGCTTGCTAGAAAAACCTGAAGGTGCTGCAAAAGAAGAGAAAGGTATGTCAGAAACTGTTTAGCACAAATTCGGTGTGTAGCACCAATTCCAAATACCAAAATTCTATTGCATGGGTCTTGTTGTCTTGCAGTGCAGAGTCATCAAGCTCCAATTGCGGGAAGGGGCAGTTGGACTACCGCAGTTGCCAAATTAGCTTTAAAGGATATGTATTTTTTTAAAGCATATAATATTAAAATTTTCTATTTCTGCCACACACTGTTATGTCTAAAAAATCTTGACTTTCATAGTTGGTAAGGTAATTTGTATTGTTCCAATTAATTTTTACCCTCTTCTCTATTTAAACAATTTTCATTGTAAATCTTCAGACTGTTACGTTGTTTAATAGTCACCAGACACTAGTTAAAGGTTTTCAGATTGTTGAGTAATCAAAGACAGAAGATGGAATATTGTGATTTATTTTTCTGCTAGATATCTTTCAGGGAAAATAGATTTTTTTCCCCCCTCTACTTATTAAATAGGATTGCGGAATATTTTGGAAAATACCACTCTCTGGTAAAAATACAGTTGAAAGAAAGTTAAAAGCTTCTGACTATCAAAGGAATGTAAAATAAACTTTTTAGGAGATTTAAAATGTGTCGTTCTACTCTTGCAGTGAAAAAGAAAGAACCACTAGATATAAGAAACTTTGATTATAGTGCTCGAAGCTGGACTGGCAAATCGCCAAAACAATTCTTGATTGACTGGTGCAGGAGAAATTTTCCCAAGAGTCCAAATCCTGCTTTTGAAAAAGTTCCCGTTGGAAGATATTGGAAATGTAGGTATGTACTTCCCAAGAGCTTTACGCTTTCTGTTGATTCATTTCAAAAAGCAGATGCTGGCTACTTTTGTTTCATAGTGTAGGTCCAGATTTATGTAAATGTAGCGTGCTTAACTTAATTTCTTTGTTCATCTAACAGGGAGGTATTTCTTTCGGGGTAACCCTGCAGAAGTAATGCTTAGGCTGGACACTAGAAAGAATAAGTTCGACTGAAAGATCTGCTACAGAGGGGATGCTCTTATTAGCTTTTAATTCTGTACTGCTGAATGAAAGATTCTAAAAAATATATATATGTAAGATAAATTTGGTTCATTAATTTCTAGTATTCTGAGTCCAAGTAATATATTACAAGTATGGATTTTAGGCATATAAATGCCAAAACCCTTTTGGATTTTTTTTTTTTCCTTTAATAAAGCAAAAGTTAGAAACTTGCATGATAGCTACCCTAAGCTTGTAACCAATACAGTGCTGTGTAAATAATGTTTAGATTTTTCTTTTAGAAAATGATTCTATAATATAGTACTGTAAAATGGAATATTTTTATGTATAAATAAAAGGAATGCTGTGTTGCAAATTCATTTTTATTCCTGGAGTTTATAACTTGCGGCATGAAATATCTCATAAAATATCTCTCAGTTGATTAGTACAGTTCACTGAGTACACAGTGCTTTTTGAAGAAACCAAATGAAATTAAAAGCCTGCCTCCTAGCCCGTATTAGAAATTACTAACTGTTCAACTGAGAATGTATTAAATTTATTACTGCTGGTCCAACTGGCACATGTCTATTAGATATTTGTATCTGAGTAGGTTATTAACTGTCATATTAATACCCAGACTGTCCTGAGCAGTTACAAACACACAAATACTTAGTCCTTGTTCCAAATACAAACACTTCTGCTGCTTTGGAGAAAATAGACAATTTTATTTACAAGAGAAATTTCATAAATTTATTGCTGAAATCTTCTGCTATTTAATCAAACCTAACCAACTGTTTCTACTTACAATATATGATTGGGTAACACAGTTTGTTTAATGTAATTTTTCTATTTGAATTCCACTCTTACGTTTTAACCAAAAAATAAACCCCAACAACAACAAAACAAGTATAGTGTTTGTATTGATAAGAAAAATTAACGAAAATGCCTGTGTGAATCTGTCTCTTAAGGGTCAGGGTTACCAAATCATCTGATGATATAATGGCGGTGTGTCCTACAATTGTAACAGAAGATAGTATGCAAGCACAGCATCTGGCTGCTACTTTGGCACTCTATCACTTAGCCAAGGGACAGGTAAGATTTTTGCATGGTACTAGGCTTTTTAGCCTGGTATCTACCTTTGCACTTGTTCGTTGTAATATCTACAGCCAGTTTCTAGAACAGGTCTGATCAAATGTTTCCAGTTAAGTTCTTTGCTTGAATTATGCATTCATTTGTCTTTACTGAAAATCATAGATTACACATCGTAGATTATGAGGAGGAAG